TCCTTAGCAAAGTGTGGGTAGTATATATCCCCAGCGGGGGACTTCACAAATGGGCTTCACACATTGTACCCACTTGGGGAATCGAACCCGGGCCTTCGGCGTGTAAGTGAAACCTTTAACCTAAGGGCTTATCCACTGCTCCCTGTAAGTACAAGCACTCGAAAGCATGTTCTGTTCAACTTCTCAAAAGGACATTCAAATTATTAATACGCAGAATATTGATTGGTGATTCGAGGAATACAAAGTTCCAGAGGGAATTTTCTTTACTTGAGGATGATATCAAGGATGCGTAATCTTTTATGGTCTGTCATTTATTTGAATTATTGAGGACAGACTGCAGTAACATTACTCAACTGTGAGTAGCGTTCATAATGTGTGACCAGCTGTGTCAGATATAAACACTTATAACCGGTTGTTATTGTTTTTATACGACATCTGTCGTCTCTAGAATGGTTTGGGACACAGCTAAAGCCGGATTGGTCTAAAATATACTGAGCTGGGTGCCGTTCCACTAACGGATCTTAACTAAGATCAACCTTAGCAAGTTACGCCGATTTTACAATCATCTTAGCTAAAAGTTATACCCTTTTCACAAACCGACCAAAGCCGGTCCCGATCTTCCGATCCAATCCAAACTTTGGTCGAGACTCTTTCGTGCAAGAGAAAGAGAAATTCCAGGCTCGAGTAATCTCCCTTTGCATAGTCTAGAAGACGATGGAAGTAGCTTTGGAACCAAATGTAAAAGTGGAGAAATAACGATAACGGTCACTTCTCACTTTATGATATACTGCATTTCCATGACTTCTCACTGTATGATATACTGCATTTCCATGACTTCTCACTGTATGATATACTGCATTTCCATGACTTCTCACTGTATGACACACTGCATTTCCATGACCTCTCACTGTATGATACACTGCGTGTCCATGACCTCTCACTGTATGATACACTGCATTTCCTTGACTTCTCACTGTATGATATACTACATTTCCAGGACTTCTCACTGTATGATACACTGCATTTCCATGACTTCTCACTGTATGATATACTGCATTTTCATCACTTCACACTGTATGATACACTGCATTTCCATACCTTCTCACTTTATGATATACTGCATTTCCATACCTTCTCACTGTATGATATACTGCATTTCCATGCCTTCTCACTGTATCATATACGGCATTTCCATGCCTTCTCACTGTATGATACACTGCATTTCCATACCTTCTCACTTTATCATATACTGCATTTCCATGCCTTCTCACTGTATGATATACTGCATTTCCATCATTTCTCATTGTGTGATATTCTGCATTTCCATGACTTCTCACTGTATGATATACTGCATTTCCATACCTTCTCACTTTATGATATACTACATTTCCATGACTTCTCACTGTATGATACACTGCATTTCCATACCTTCTCACTTTATGATATACTGCATTTCCATACCTTCTCACTGTATGATATACTACATTTCCATTCCTTCTCACTGTATGACACACTGCATTTCAATACCTTCTCACTGTATGATATACTACATTTTCATTACTTCACACTGTATGATACACTGCATTTCCATACCTTCTCACTTTATGATATACTGCATTTCCATACCTTCTCACTGTATGATATACTGCATTTCCAGGACTCCTCACTGTATGATATACTGCATTTCCATCATTTCTCATTGTGTGATATTCTGCATTTCCATGACTTCTCACTGTATGATATACTGCATTTCCATACCTTCTCACTGTATGATATACTACATTTCCATACCTTCTCACTGTATGACACACTGCATTTCAATACCTTCTCACTTTATGATATACTGCATTTCCATACCTTCTCACTGTATGATATACTACATTTCCATACCTTCTCACTTTATGATATACTGCATTTCCATGCCTTCTCACTGTATGATACACTGCATTTCCATACCTTCTCACTTTATGATATACTGCATTTCCATGACTTCTCACTGTATGATATACTGCATTTCCATCATTTCTCATTGTGTGATATTCTGCATTTCCATGACTTCTCACTGTATGATATACTGCATTTCCATACCTTCTCACTGTCTGATATACTGCATTTCCATACCTTCTCACTGTATCATATACTGCATTACCATGACTTCTCACTGTATGGTATACTGCATTTCCATGACTTCTCACTGTATGATATACTGCATTTCCATGACTTCTCACTGTATGATATACTGCATTTCCATGACTTCTCACTGCATGATATACTGCATTTCCATACCTTCTCACTGTATGATATACTGCATTACCATGACTTCTCACTGTATGATACACTGCATTTCCATCATTTCTCATTGTATGATATACTGCATTTCCCTGACTTCTCACTGTATGATATACTGCATTTCCATAACTTCTCACTGTATGATATACTGCATTTCCATGACTTCTCACTGTATGATACACTGGGTGTCCATGACCTCTCGCTGTATGATACACTGCATTTCCATACCTTCTCACTGTATGATATACTGCATCTCCATGACGTCTCACTGTATGATACACTACATTTCCATGACTTCTCACTGTATGATATACTGCACTTCCATCACTTCACACTGTATGATACACTGCATTTCCATACCTTCTCACTGTATGATATACTGCATTACCATGACTTCTTACTGTATGATATACTGGATTTCCATACCTTCTCACTGTATGATATACTGCATTTCCATGACTTCTCACTGCATGATATACTGCATTACCATGACTTTTCACTGTGTGATATACTGCATTACCATGACTAATCACTGTGTGATATACTGCATTTTCATGACTTCTCACTGTATGATATACTGCATTACCATGACTTCTCACTGTGTGATATACTGGATTTCCATACCTTCTCACTGTATGATATACTGCATTTCCATGACTTCTCACTGCATGATATACTGCATTACCATGACTTTTCACTGTGTGATATACTGCATTACCATGACTAATCACTGTGTGATATACTGCATTACCATGACTTTTCACTGTGTGATATACTGGATTTCCATACCTTCTCACTGTATGATATACTGCATTTCCAGGACTTCTCACTGTATGATATACTGTATTTCCATGACTTCTCACTGCATGATATACTGCATTTCCATGACTTTTCACTGTATGGTACACTGCATTACCATGACTAATCACTGTATAATATACTGCATTTCCATGACTTCTCACTGTATGATACACTACATTACCATGACCTCTCATTGCATGATAAAATGCATTTCCATGTTTCACCTCACGCTTGGAATAAGTATCGGAATGATATGTCAGCAGGCGACATTGTCTGTGTAAAATGTTGTGCTTGTTTGTTGTTTGTAAATAATCGTGTCAGGGCAAGACAATCCAATGATCAATATGATCGACATGGTACAGCTGTGATATTGCTGAATACAGATGGGAAAAGTACATCGGTGATGTTGATGTTGCCTTTTGGAGATCGACATGGTGTAGCTATGATATTGCTGAAAACAGATGGGCAGAGCACGTCTGTGATGTTGCTCTTTGCCTTCTTAGATGTGATGACTTTAAAAACATGTTTGGAACATCTGCAATATTTGGAATTACGCTTTCTCAGTGAAGTGCAGATTCTAATACTTTTTTGTATTTGGTAGAGTTCCAACTCTCAGAGTAAGGCCCCTAATCGCCAGTACACAAAGTCAGCCGTCTAGCCCACTTAGCCACCACAGATTCCACAAAAATGCAATTCGGACAACTTGTATAGTCTGTTTGGGTCAAAATGATACCGATGAATCACAATCGGTTCAGCATCAAGCATTCATTTCAAGTAGGTTTTGTTAGACTCAGTATAGCAGTGTAACGAATAATACTGAGCCTAAGTTTACTTAGACTGCCGTCAAAAGAAACGAAACATGCTTTGAATGGCATGATAATGCGTAACAAACCAACACCAATCTGTAAGGTAGATCAATATCCCAAAGCTACATTTACCGCCTTATTATTGCGATCTCAGTCCAATAGAACTTATCTCGGGTATCGTAAAATCTGATTTGGCAAAACTGTGCACAGAATGTGCACTAATTGTTGACATCCCAAGCTGCACGTTCTCCCCGCCCTTGAGGCTGTTCCTGCAACAGTTTATCGTAACATTACCCTCGTAAAACTTCACAAGAAAAATCAAAACAAAATAATGATTGTTTGTTGAATACCTTTTTATTTTGGAGACAAACGTTATGAAACTTTTTTCCAGAGTTGGTCTGGTGTTTTCATTACATTTTGTGTTGAAATGAATGTGTGATTATGTACCGATTGAGAGATAGATTATGATTCATCGGTGTCATTTGGAGTCGAACAGACTGTGGTCTAGACCACGGATTTTGTGAATACTTCTGACAAGTGTAAATTGGCACGGCTCCCACACATGTTATCCCTGGGTCTACACATTCTCAGTAAAGATTCTAGTACTTTTGTTGGAGTGAGTCAAAAGAGTTAGAATCTGTACAGAGAAAGTGTAATCCAAAACAGAACGTGTTACATTTGACCAGTTTCTAAATGACATTGTATCGTATTTAAATTCTTTTCATAAATAACTTCCATTGATAGTGAAACGAGTTGTCTTGCATGGTAGAGGAGAGGTGGTCATGGAGGTGATGTCACCGTGCCCTGTGTTAAACCTATACAAAATGTGTTAACTCGATCGATCGATCGAAAGTAGCAGCTGCGCTCGAGTTCCCGGTAACCAAAAAGGCCCAAGTGAGGTGGCGGCAAATGGTAATAAATCAAACATGATAAAATCGTCAGCACATATTTTCAAATGTCTTGTCATCAGTAGGGGGTGGCGGAAACAATGTGTACGAATCTACCACACACTTTTACACACAAAACACGGCTTTATGTTGTCATAAACGATTGTTTACATTTACAACAACCTTGATCAGGCCCCTTTGCTTGTCACAATAAGTATGTATATTACATCAGGTGATCAGTCTGTCTTTGATATTACAACCCAGCCGCACCCGACAGGGAGCAGTGTAGGTAAGATGGCTCTTGTTTTGGGGGAGATGTTGGTGTACTGTAACATACATATGGTGTTCGCTCCAAGGGAACATAAATCTATAAATTATAACAACATAGACAGCTGTTTGACACATTGTAATCTATTATGTGATATTCACTTTGATTCGTCTGTGTGTTGATAGACGAATGTGTGGTCTACATAAATGCTTTTCAAAAGTCATGAAGTAAGTTTTTTCTTTCAAAATGTCGAAAGTAACTACTGCTTCTCGATATGTGTGTGTTTGATTTAACATGTAATGTGAGACTCTCCCGCTTTCATCTCTAATGAGATGGTGTTTGTTATTATCCAAAGTTTAAGGAAATGGTATTAAATCTTAATTCTTTTCATTTTGTTGTGTAAAGTGGGTACTAAAGACAGTGAACTTTGTTAAAGCGTTTACTGTTAAATGTGTATTGAGAGGAGAAGTTCTATACAAACTGAATATACCGAACCAGGTATATAATGAACCAGGAACATGGAGCTGGTCGAATCTAGGATTCAAAATTGTCACCAGTCACCATAACAAATACCCTGATTATTTGAACCAGGGTCTAAGCAGCAGTATAAACAATGGCAGAACGGGACCACTCCCCCTCATCAAGCTTTTTCACCTGAATTCTTATCCGTTTTGCTAATCTGATCGAGATGAATGCACAGCTCTTGATAGGGAACTATATCTGATAATTTTGAACCACTCAGTTAAAAACCCGAGAGTTTTCGATAAGACCTTACCAAGTCTTAAGGAATGGTTTCTACTGGTTAATGTTAGCATTAAGTTTGACTCATTTGGTGTGAGGGTAGCTCCATTATGTTTAAACATTTCGTCGTTTAGCGAACAAACACTATAATAACCATCGGATACAATGTGGTGGTCTTTATTTAAACATACCCTGTCATTGATTTTCTCATTACTTATATTAGTCGTGGGTAATACTATAAATAATTATATAATATACAAAGATACTAAATTATATTTTCAATGAGTGAAGCGGATAAACTAACGAACATGGAAATTGTGGTGGACCCATGGTAGAAAATATATCATGTTCGTCAACAGTGCAAGCAAATTTGAATAGGATATTGCTATAAAATTGAAATGGGTGGAATGTTGCTTATGTCTATAAATTCATAGCTGATTCTAACCGCTTTCAATAAGTGCTTGGTACCATAAGTAATATGTTCATTAAGTAGTACATCTTATTTGTTAACATTTGTAAGCATGCATCACTTCTTACGGTATATACCATCAGAATTCCAAGGTAGAAATGTAGCAGTCTATATTTAGCCTGTTTGCTGATTCTATTTCCTTTTATATGTAAGATCAATGTTCAAACCTTGTACATATAGCTTCTTTGGAGACAAAATATTGTTTAAATCAAATCGTTTGAAAAGAGATACAAACATATGTAAATATGAATGGAAGGTTTAGCCTCGTGAGTCACGCAGATTGGAATGTGAGTTACTGAAATTGAAAATATTCACCCAAACGCAACCGTCCACGTTAAAGTGGGGTCGAAAGTTGGTCATCTCGCCTCAAAGTTGTGTTTTGGCGCTACACTCCAGCGGATCGCATTTTTTTTCAGTCTAAGATATACTACCCATCAAAAGCTTAAACTCAATAGTGACAATTAAGTAAAAGTAAAGGTTAATGGTACCTGCGGCAAAGATCAATTATTTACAAAACCCTGCAAGATATCATTACACAGCTTACAAGAATTCGATATGGGTCATGCTTCCACAAAATAAGATCATTTCCGATTTCCGTAATTCTGCAACAAACATAACTGTCTGAGATTGGAATGTGTATTGAATTTCAACTGAGTATTTTTCTACTCCAGCAGGTAAAGGGTTAACAGAATGTATGAAATAAAGCTCACCTTTTCTAGCTCATTGTACATGTCTGCATATGAATATAATTCTGCAGTATACAAGCAGGTCAAAATTAAGACTATTCTCTGCAAGAAATGAAATATCAAATGCTCAATGGATAGGAAATATTACTTATAAGTCAATCAATTCTAACAATTTGTGCAAAGTTTCAATTACACACCTTCAACTGAACAACACAGGGTTTGCAGAAACACCGTTCCTGGTCTTAAATTGATAACACTAAATGTTTCACTTTGCTTTTAAGGATAGGTATAGTTTCACACAACTGCTTATCATTCTGCTGAATCACACGCCAGACAGCGATGTGTGCGTTCACCTGTACCTGTGATATTTTTATACCAACATAAAATTAAATCACGTATATCATCAATGTTTTACAACTTTATTTTGAATGGTAGACGCTATTTAGAAAATGTCTCGATCAATATTACACTATATCATGACTTACAATTCCTTTGAATTTTCAGTACACATATTCTATTAAAAGTGTCACGATCAAGATTTGCAAACTTTTTTTGTTTGCAGACAAATAAGGAAGTATACCATATGACCTTTTTACACTATTATCTGATTATTGCATTGTATTCCAATAGTTGTGCCACAAAATATTTTATAGATACATCATCAACTTCAACCTTTATATAAACTGTGGTCAAATTTAGTTCCATGTGTTTTCTGTGGGATGTTATTTAGTATGTATGTAACTGATTAATAGCTAAAGATATGCATGACGTAACAAGTCAGCCAAGTCATGGTTGGGTGTATTGTTCTCATGCACTGATACATTCAGTTATCTCAGCCTTCATTAAAGCAAAACAATGGATAGTATAAAAACGTAGTAGCCATTTCTAAATAGGGAAGTGCTGACACAGAAAGGAATGTGTATTCACGCGACAAGCTCACTGTGTGGTCATTGTTGAGATGTTATTATAGATCATGAGCCACAACTGACTAGTGTGGGGGCTGCGACTTGACATTATTGAAAAGAGATGCCGTGTGTCAACAACCTGTTTGTGAGCTTTTTAGGTAGATAACAGAATTCGAAGAACAGCATTTTGCAAAAATATGAAATTATCTAAGCTGTAATCGTTTTGTGTTTTCTTCACACGAAACATTCGAGTTCAACTACACAACCTGGATGTATTGTAGGAATAGTTTCATTGGTAAATACTTTAGGTTTTTCTGTTTATTTGGTCAAAGCTTCTTTAACTTGCTTTGTTGTTACCTCTCGGTAGTTATTAAAAGTACATGAACACTCATAAACACGCAATGTATGCATGACGTCAAGGTTAGACGTGATGACAGATGCGAATACACTAATGCTAGATTCTTCATTCAGCCCAAACATGGCGTAGCAGACCTTTCCATATAAGGTTATGCTACTACTTGATCACCCGATCCAGAGCGGGGGCGGTCTTGTAAAAAGGCAATTACACTGGTGCCAGCAATATATATATATATATATATATATATATATATATATATACAGCCAACTCTCGTTAATCCGACACTTGTGGTTGCAGAGAAATATGTCGGATTAACGGAAATGTCGGATTAATGAAAATGTCGGATTAATGTATTTGTGTGAAAATATCAATGTTTGCTAAATGTCATGATCGTCATACTGTTGCATGCATATCATAAATGGTACATCTAGTTATCTTCATCGTACGTAAAAATATTCACAGAAATAGAAAATACTAACAATACATACTAGTTATCATTTATGAACATTCATAGATGGCATAACATACATATATAATCACGTAAGCGAACAGTTTCATATCTATTTCATGACCACATTGGCACAAAACTCACGTTTGTTTTTACCGCATATCAGCTGCCATTATGACCCGGATGTTGAATATGTTACAGTTTCCATACAACTAATTCCATAATAACATGTGGACGTCTAATGTACACTCAGGCGTGTATCATAACATATATAATTTATAACTTGAAAAAGTCTTTGATGGCCATTAACATCAAACACGTCTAAGTGGTGTGTCAGAAATGTTTGCAAAGTGTTCAACGATGTTTTGGCCTCAGATAGCTTGAAGCATTGGAATCAGTCGTAGAGACGCTCAACCACTAAGCAGACTGCTTCAGGAGGTCAGATACGGTTGATCGTCCAATCTTCACATCAAACTTCTGCTCAGCAAAAGTGATGACTTCTTGTTGTGTTGTCTGGGGTTTGTCTTTCTTCAAAAGGAGATTTCTTTCTAGATCAATGGCGTAACTTCTACAAGGAGTCGCTTAGCAGGTGGTGTACATCTTGTGATGAAAACTCATGTCGGTTGTAAACATTTTATACAGCTCGCTCTACTGTTTTTTCTTGATTAAATCGTCTCAATTAATTATTCTGTGTTCCTAATTAACAAGTTTGATGTTCACTGACGAGAGTAATTATCACTGTTTTAAATGGTTCCCTAATTTTTTGTCGGATTAACGTGATTGTCGGATTAATGAGTGTCGGATTAACGAGAGCTGACTGTATTCAGGGGTTCGGGGGCGGTGGTGTAGCCTAGTGGTTAAAGCGTTGGCTCGTCCCGCCGAAGACCCGGGTTCGAATCCTCACATGGGTACAATGTGTGAAGCCCATTTCTGGTTTCTCCCGCCGTGATGTTGCTGGAATATTGCTAAAAGCGGCGTAAAACTAAACTCAGTCAGTCAGTAATAGCCTGTTCAAGATCATATTGTTTTGAACAATAGGATTACTGAAACATATTTACAATGTGCATGACACCATAGAAGCATGAATTAAAAACAACGAAACAAAAATTGTAACAGGCCTTTTATTAACAACATAAGGTGTCAGTCTTCACAAGTGTAGGGTTCAAGGGATTTTCACAAGAAAAATAAGCAATCTTGACGGTTCAATGATTTTAAAGCTTGTATTGTGTTTTAGTCCTGACATGAAACATGAAACAACTCAGATACAGCAGAAGAACTTTTTTCCTTTTGAATTTCATCACGTCATGGTTGATATTGTACACACGATTCCAGATGCGTTGTAAACCCACATTTTGCCACTCCTCCATGTCAGTGCTTGAAGGCTTCCCCTGACATTGTTTTCCCGCAGAACCTCCTCCTTTCTGTACTGGAAGTTGTTCCTCGCCTTCACTGTTGTCGTCACTATCATATCTGAGACGTTATCTCTTGGATTTCAAACTGGTGTTTGCTGGACACCATGTTTTGATATGTCGCTGTAGATCATGCATATTGTCTATCCATACGCCGCAGTCGGTACACGTAGTGGCCATGGTGAAAGGTCCTGTGTCGTCACTCGAGATGGATGCTGTTTCAACGTTGTTGTCAAAGCTATGAGATCTTTCTTTGGAAGTGTGATCATCACAAATGTCGGAAGCTGTCTGAACTTCTAATACTGGAGAGACCTCTTTTACCTGTTCTTGTTGCAAACCACTCTGTTGATCAGATGTATTGAGGTTTTCACGAGATTGACATGGAGTCTAATCTTTTCACTTGTACTAGGTTTGAGATCCACTGTCCATGGTGTCCATAAGGTGTTTCAACAGCCTTTTCATAAAGAGTCATAAATCTACTAATGTCGTCAGGAAATATGCTTTTGGCAAATAACTTCACCTGCTGTCTGTCCACTGGTGAATTGAAAAGTGTTACATAATGTGAATTTAGAGCAATGTCACGAGATTCCTTACCTCTTGGGAAGAAGTTTTGCAATAGCAAAAAGATAATAACATTTTTGCGGTGGGAGGTTTGAGTAAACAGACGGGAAATCCGCTTATTGTTCTTTGCTTCAGACAGAAAATCATCCAACACCATCATGTTCTGGTTGTGGGCATCAAAGTAGTTTTCATCTTCGATATTGTAAGGTATTCCTTTCACAAAGGTCTCTATCTAACGTACCTGCCGTTGCACCGAGCTTAGTCTGCACGGTTTGTAAAGCCTTAGTGGTCTTCGCAGACAGTTTGGACCTTGTATTACAGAAGTCGGTTAAGCTTAATTCATTACAGATAAAGTTGATGCCATGGCGACCAGCTAGTATAGATAATGCGAGGGGTTTTCTAGTATGGGAATGCGGGAGATACCTTGAGAAGCCTTAAGTCGCAGAATCCCTTTTTTCATCTATCTCAAACTCAACCGATAGGAGTAACTTAATTTTCATCTTCCTTTAAGGCATCGTAATAATCATTAACAGCTGGATGTAAACCCATGAGTGGGGTTTCATAATTCAAGTTGGTTCCATCGGAGAGAGCAACGTCGGACAAATCGTGCTTTTGGAAGATTAAGAGAACCATTAGGAGTCAAAGCAATTCGTCAATCCATTACTATAACTAACAATCCAAGTACAATTAATCAAAACCAAACGCTGTCGGTTCGCTTTCCTAATCTGGGCAATAATGACGTAACCAAACGTTGTCGGTTTGCTTTCCAAATCTGGGTGTTAATGACGGTACTGCGAGACTGGCTTTGAATATTAGTTTTACTTCCACGGATGATAAAAGGGAAATCGTTTCGAACACTGGCCAGGAGATCGTTAAGAAAACGATTATTAAGTCAGCGAAATTAAGACAAATTGCAACTAGTATTCGTGAACTTTAGCCATATTGTCTGATTGTGTTATCGTCAACAAAAGATCACAGGGATGAAAACAATACACTGTGGAATATCAATCTGAACGTGCCTGCTAGACCTTTGAAGTGTATTTTGATCATTCCGGAAGAAGGAATTATGCTGTTTCAAAAAGAAATGAAAAGTATTGGAACCCTGAGATTACAAAAGTAGAAGTGATTATCGAGGGTGTGCCTAATCAGCTACTTAGTCAAGGCGCGAGGACCTACCAACAGCGGGATGAAATAAACTGCAGTCCAGAAATTAACTCGATTAAGAAGAATCTCGGTCTCGTCGATTTGACGATCGGTGATTATCTGATGAGTAAGTAAGAGCTGTGGCTGGATATGAGATCCACGAATGATCAACTTCATGGTAAGTGGGCGTCGAATCGAAAACGAGAGCAATGTTCTCACGATCCAAATCACGTCATTATGGATGCACAACTGAATTAACAAAAACACTTTTATATTGGATATGTTGGAAGGTTATTTTTTCGTGTGTTTTTTAACCATATCGCTATTCTTTGTACTATACTTGACAAAAATGTTTAGGGATATATGTAAATTTTGATACTATGAGTAATAATCTATTTACTCATTGATACACTGATAAACTATAAATAATAAAAATACCAATATCCCTGTCTTTTTTTGTCCAGTATATTTCACATGTCAATAAAACGTACACGGGGAGGGAATGGGTTATGCATGACGAGGAGGTGCTTCAATTGACCCTGGAGTACACTTACAGAACTGGCTGTGAGCATTTTACAACAAGTTTAAGAGTGAGTCAACGCTTTTTATCCATAGACGACTGTCGCGCTAATAAAGAGATCACTGAAAAGAAAGATTTGTTGTCTTATTTAGCATTCTCGGGCCATCATATTGAGCATAGCATTTGGGTACTTATGCAAAAATTCAACTCAGTAACGAGTGTGTAAATGTGAGCCCGATTTTAATCTGTCCACGACTGAGGTAATGTGGAAATATAATAGACTGTCACTGTACGAGTTCTCCCCCTGTTTGCTCGATGACGGACGTAGAACACTGGTTACTTCCTGGTTGTATGGACGGGTGGAGTGGGCGTACATAATGTCAGTATCTCTGTAAGTTTGTTCATGTTTGATGTTGTTTTATGTTCTGTCTCCGTGCTTTGGACTGAACTGTTGCTGTTGACTTTTATCTTGATATTGTTAAGTGTCGAATGTCTTCAGAATAGGCTGCAGGGACTATCGTCGGTGACCGAGCACTTGTCTTGACAAAGCTACCTCATACACTCCGATGTGATCCAAGACACATACATCCACGTATATATAACTGTCCATTCTATGCTGAGTGTCTTTCCCAAACCAAACTGTCAAAGCCTGAATGGCTATTCCAATCATGTGTAATTTAGCCTGTCAATAGGTACACATGTCTTTGCAAGATGGTTGTCTTTGTTTTTTTTGGTTTCAGCAGATAATCTCCTGACGTTGAAATTATGATTTATGAAGTTGTATATGTCTAGACCTGTTGTTTGTCATGCTTAAGAATCAGTGGTCTAAGCGTTGTCTAACTTGCTAGTTCTTTAGCTGCCTTTGCAAAACCTACTCATAGTGATCAATTGTCCACATGCTGGTTGAAAATGAAATAATTGGATAATACTCTTCTCCTGGATACTCCTGGACATAACCATATATGTTTTTTTTTAATCTTTTCGATTTTAATCTTGCATGAGTTTAAAATTTGACCTTGTTCATTATTACCTTCAAACGTAAACCTGTCTGACGTATCCGAATGTGTGAGTCTGAGAAAGACCAACCTTATCATGTCCGGTTTATTTCTGGTCATGAGGATTGTACTTTTAAACTTTTAATGGCAATGACTATTAAGGAAATATGCTAAACTATTAATTACATTTACAGAAAGGACTCGTGAAAAATGGAAACTGGACCTCTGACAAACACACCAGATGTGACAGAGTGCAGACAATCCACATTGACATCAACACAAGATGACACTGTGACAGGATCAGAAGCAGGCACACAGTCAGTTATTGAAGGGAACCAGCGCTAGGACATTCAATCCACACTACCTGCAATACAAGATGATGCTCTAATATAAGGGAGTCAACAGCAGAAGAGACAACCAAACCCTTCCTCAACACAATAAGGTGCTGTGGCCACACCATCAGCAGACACTGTGGCAGTAAAAGAAAGGAATAATGACATTTAGCATTAATTAGCTAAATGGGTTAATAGGCAGCAATTCCCTCTGCATGGAGCAACCAGCCTGTGTAGCAATGCACGTGGCCGTTTGTTATTTTACAAAGCATAACAATTACGTCACTTCCTGGGTTATGTCACTTCCGCAGGCCTACGACACTTCCGCTTCCTTTCTGATCTTTGCCTGTCGGATTCGGTTTTAACTTTAAATTCTCGTCGAAATCCCGTGATTCGCCTGTTTCGTCTATAATTCGCGTTTGCTCTCTGCTCTGTTGCTCTCGCTCGCTTTAAAGTCATTTTCTCCCTTGTTTTAGTACTTCAGGTCTCGCGCCTGGTGCTCGCCGTAACCATGCCACCAAAGAGGAAAGCGGCTGCGAACCATAACAGCTTAAAAGGACGGGCTAAGGCGGCCAGACGACAGACTAAGGGGCCCACGCACTTCTGGTGCAGTCCCCACGAGCTCTGCCCCACCGGTCAGTCAGGCCTTCCAACCAAAGAACCCTCCGTCCCCTGCAGCCAGCACCACCACGACCACCGCTCAGCTGGAGCCAACTTTCAGCACATTGCTGGCCCCGTCAGGCAATGTGCAAGGTATGTCGCCATTTAATCACATTAATTCATGGTCTAATATGCTTACCCGCGCGGTAGCCAGTCACCTGTTGACATACAATCCCCTCAAATACCTACTCAACCTCTCGCACATCGTGGCATGCTGAGTAACGCTGACAGAGTAGTAAATCAGCGGCTAAACTTCAGGGCTATCGATACCATAAGACTTCATGTCAGAAAGACAGTGAAAGACAAAACTCACGGGGAGACTTTATTGACATGGAAGTCACTGTTGCCATCAGAAAATCCGGCGCTAATAGAAGTGAGTCAACAGCAGGGGAGACAACCCAACCCTTCCTCAACACAAGAAGGTGCTGTGGCCATACCATCAAAAGACACACCGGCGATTATAGAGGAGAACCAGCAGCAGGGACTTCAGTCCATTTCTACAACCACACACAACTACATCGGTAATTCTTCCCCCTCCAATAACTGTCATCTTATTGTTTGAGCATATTTTTCCCATCATGATGGCTGCCTCTGTACTTTGGTAGAGTGTCTGACAAATTCAATAGAAAATAGGATTAGATGTAGATGTCTCTCAATCTCATATCTCTGATGTGGTAAAGGATTATTAATTACACATCTTATGGGACTAAATCAAAGTTTAGAAATGGAATGTGATGTAAGTTGGCTGCCATGGCATTAAAGGAGAGCAAACAAAGAACATCCTGGTTCACATGTTAAATATTAACGATCTTCTTCACGCAAGTAAATAGGCACATTTGTATGTAACTGCATACTGTTACCTGAATGTTTAATGTCAGTTTGAGCTTATGTCCTGTGTTATTGTTCGTAGTCAATCCGTCTAATAGAGCTGATTGATCACAATTTACCATAAACATTTTTCCAACAAGTGAAAGCATACTTGAAGAACATAGTCAAGCTTATTTTCATATATTTTCTTCAATTATTTCCTTCAACTTCGTTTGTTTTTGCTCCAGGTTGTTCAGTACCTCAGTAATATGTGTCCCAGTCCTTCAACGTTGATTTTTGTCAGTATCCCTCTGTCCTACTCATTCAAATTTTGTTTCTTGTTCCAGGTTGTTCAGTATCCCAGTATGACCTGTCTAACTCATCTCAAACTTCAGAGGGGAATCTCGGACATCGTGGCTGTGTATCACAAGGTAAAGTGTTAGTGAACGGTCACTTATATAGCGAAAACTTGTCTTCTATCACTGTGCACAGATTAGGAATGGACCTCACTTTCAGTTAACATAGTATGCAACATTACTTTTGTAGATAGATGTTGTTACCAGTTGGAATGGAGAAATAAAGTTCAGAATATGTTTCCATTTCTGTTTGTTTAGTACAACCACTGAGCTAGCCTTATGTGAAAATATACTATATAATTACAAGCATATTGTTCTCATCTATTTTTCATTAAAATCTCAGTCTTTCTGGTATTAAGATGTTTGGGAAGACGTGTTCTAGTCCTCTGATGTTCTTGTTTTCAGCATCTCTTAGCATCAGGATCAAGCAACTCAATGAAGGGTTTGAGGAAATTGGCACACTCCATAAAGCAGAAGAACTCCTAAAAAGACACAACCATGTGACAGTTTGTGGAGCTCCCGGCGATGGAAAAACAAGCATTGCTCTCAAGATATGTGAGAAATATCTGCGAAAGAAATATGAAGTTGTATTTGTTGAAAATGTTGAAGAGTTTCAAGAAGATACAATAATTCAGCGACAGTGTCACATGTTGATTGTGTTTGATGATATATTTGGTTCTGGACCATTTCCGTCCAATCTGCAGAAAATCAAGAAGGTGTTGGCCAGACTGGCTGATGTTTTAGTAAACATCTCAGTTCAAAGGGTAGAACAGGACAAGAAGAAGAGAGAGCAGAAAAAACTGAATGCAGACAAGAAGAAAAATGAGACTTTGTCTGCTGCAGATGCAAAAAGCCTCTACAAAGTCCGCTTCATCTTCACATCTAGAACCTACAACTGGAATGAAGGATGCAGCAGACTTCACCAGTTCAAAATAAATCTCTTCAACCCTGAGAGTGTTATCGATTTGGCCACAACTACTCTGACAACTGACGAAAAGAAATCTATAATAAATTCATTCTTGAAAAGAAATCAAATGTTTGACATCTCCAGTCAGGACAAGAACACAATTACACAGTTACAAGACAACATGTTTGGGTTTCCACTCATCTGTCAACTTTACTGTACCAACCCAGCCTTCCAGATGCTCAAAATTACTACCTTCTTTCAGAACCCTGTGACCTATCTGAGAGGTGATCTTGACACCATTATCCGTGAAGGTAGCAGCAGATCGGCAGCCCTCGTTCTCCTCGTCCTGTGTGGGGGGAAAGTTGGACCTTGTCTCTTTCAAGTCGGGGACAAAATGTGCAGCATTGTTCCAGGTTGTAAAGGAGGAGATAGCAACCTGCACTCGTACAGACATCGGTAAGGAGATCAGCAACTTTACCGGCACCTACTGCACAGTAGAGAATCATGTTGCCTCCTTCTCACATCCATCCATTCACGACGCCGCAGCATGTGCTTTGGGCCCTCTCAATGAAGTGTTGTTACTGGAACATTGTTCTCTGCAGTTCCTATATGAAAGAGTCAGACTTAACAGGGATGATGGTTTTCAGTCAACCCACACTGATGACGTGACAAACACGATTTGCATCACTTCCAATCTATTTCCATTAGTCATTACCAGATTGGTGCAAGGTGTCCGAGAAGGGTGTTTTAGATGGACAGTTGGTCACCCTATATTCAGCAACGACCAAATAGCTTCCTCCTTCTTGACACAAATGATGTCAGACCTGCCAGATGTTGTTCACAGAAAAGATACGAGCTCCGGTGAATGCTTTCTGTATTGGGTCTCACTTTCAACCAACCAGTCAGTGTTTGAACGCTCATTGTCACTGATTTGTAAAGAGAGAGGCCTTTCAAATTCTGTTGTCACTGACTTCTACGATAGTGTCATAGGCTGTATACAGAGTGGCAATCTACTGTATCTTCAGCGTATTGCTGCTGCACTCAAACAGCGTGACAAATTTAATGTAGATTACAGGTCAACGGGCCACAAAACACTGCTGATGATTGCTGCTGAGGCAGGACAGTTGGATGTGTTCAACTTCCTACTGCGAGAGGGAGCTGATGTTTCAACGACAGACAGTCGACATCGTAACTGTCTTCATCATTCATGTAAATCAGGAAGTAAAGATATAGTAAAAGTTCTTGTTAAACAGTTCCCACATCTGATCAATGTTGGTGATGAAGATGGAAACACCCCCGCAATTGTATGTGCTGAGTCAGGGCAACTGGAAATCCTCAAACTTCTTGTTTCACACAAAGCAGATTTAACTAAGACGACTGAGTATAACATGATGAAAATATTTCATATAGGATGTATCCAAGGTCATGTTTCAGTCGTAGAATATTTACTGACATGTGAAAACATAACCCTGCGAGGAGAGCAGGGACAAACAGCACTGATGATGGCAACAGCAAGAGGACACAATGATGTATATAATCTTCTTGTGTCGGCGGGAGCTGATTTGTCACTGACTGATGAATACAACGATGACTGCTTGAGGTTGGCAAGTGAAGGAGGCAACATGTCTATAGTGAAACACCTCCTTTCCTTGAAAACATTTGACATCAACAGGCAAGGGGGTATTTATAGACGGCCAGCTGTTATGATGGCAGCTGCAAGGGGATACTGTAATGTATATTTTCTTCTTGTGTCAGAGGGAGGTGGTTTGTCACTGACTGATGAATACAACAATGACTGCTTGATGTTGGCATGTGAATCAACATGTCTATAGTGAAACACCTCCTTTCCTTGAAAACATTTGACATCAACAGGCAAGGGGGTATTTATAGACGGCCAGCTGTTATGATGGCAGCTGCAAGGGAGGATACTGTGATGTATATTTTCTTCTTGTGTCGGAGGGAGCTGATCTGTCACTGACTGATGAATGCAACAATGACTGCTTGATGTTGGCATGTGAAGGAGGTAACATGTCTATAGTGAAACACCTCCTTTCCTTGAAAACATTTGACATCAACAGGCAAGGGGGTATTTATAGACGGCCAGCTGTTATGATGGCAGCTGCAAGAGGACACTATGAAGTATATAATCTTCTTGTGTCGGAGGGAGCTGATCTGTCACTGACTGATGAATACAACAATGACTGCTTGATGTTGGCATGTGAGGGAGGTAACATGTCTATAGTGAAACACCTCCTTTCCTTGAAAACATTTGACATCAACAGGCAAGGGGGTATTTATAGACGGCCAGCTGTTATGATGGCAGCTGCAAGAGGACACTATGAAGTATATAATCTTCTTGTGTCAGAGGGAGCTGATCTGTCACTGACTGATGAATACAACAATGACTGCTTGATGTTGGCATGTGAGGGAGGTAACATGTCTATAGTGAAACACCTCCTTTCCTTGAAAACATTTGACATCAACAGGCAAGGGGGTATTTATAGACGAACAGCAGTTATGATGGCAGCTGCAAGGGGATACTGGGGTGTATATTTTCTTCTTGTGTCGGAGGGATCTGATCTGTCACTGACTGATAAAGACAACAATGACTGCTTGATGTTGGCATGTCAGGGAGGTAACATGAATGTAGTGAAACACCTCCTTTCCTTGAAAACATTTGACATCAACAGGCAAGGGGGTATTTATAGACAACCAGCTGTTATGATGGCAGCTGCAAGAGGATACTGTGATGTATATTATCTTCTTGTGTCAGAGGGAGCTGATTTGTCACTGACTGATGAATCCAACAATGACTGCTTGATGTTGGCATGTAAGGGAGGTAACATGACTCTAGTGAAACACTTCCTTTCCTTGAAAACATTTGACATCAACAGGCAAGGGGGTATTTATAGACGGCCAGCTGTTATGATGGCAGCTGCAAGAGGACACTATGGAGTATATAATCTTCTTGTGTCAGAGGGAGCTGATCTGTCACTGACTGATGAATACAACAGTGACTGCTTGATGTTGGCATGTGAGGGAGGTAACATGTCTATAGTGAAACACCTCCTTTCCTTGAAACAATTTGGCCAGGGTCAAAGGGGATTAGAGAAATATGTCACTATTGCAGAAAGATGGCACAACCAGGACATTGTGAATCTTCTGAGGTCCTCTTCGTCATGATGATGGTTGCCCCGGACTGAAGACAACGTAACCAAGGATGGTTAATCACAGTTTGAACGTTGTGAACATAGTGTCTAAACAGGTGTGTGGCGGATATATAACTGGGACTGCACAATCATGGATGTAACATGTTATGATGACTCATGAAGAGAATACTTGTCTGTGGTACTCCGAAAGGGGATATGTCAATATTACATGTTTCAGTTTGACTATAGAGATATATATTTACAATCGTACATGTGTGCTACATATCATACCAATTATTCCTTTTTTAAAATATGCTTCGTTTTTGTTTTACATGGAAATGTCAACTGAGAACGTGTTCTGAGCCAAGTGGTATAAAACACTAACGGTTATGGCACTGTTAAATACTACAATTTGATGAATTAACTTTTATTAACACCCCAAACCTGACTAGAACTAATCAATACCAGCCCCTTCCATGGGCACTACCACCAACTCAGACCTCCGAGAACGTGTTGTAGCCGCTTGGTTCTTCTCACGTTTATCCAACACTAATATTGTAATGGTTCACAAATACTTGCCACACGCCGCTGTTTTCTGAAGATTTAAATTAGAGGTGAGGTGAAATTGGGTTGTACGTCGTACTTGAGAATATTTCGCTCATAAGACGAAGTTAAATTAGAACGTTGTAGGTATTCCTCCGTTCGTAGATCATCAGTTATAGAATGTTCCCACATGGAAGTCGGACAACAGGTAGTCTAGACTAAGGACGCTGTGTATCCCTCTGATAAACTTAAATTGGCACAGCTCCCACGGCCGAAAGCTATTTAGAAAGTTGTGAAATGTAGCATATGTTCTAATTGGGATTACATTTTCTCAGATGCATTTCCCGATGGCATTGTGTATTAATAACCTTCGCTAAACTCTGGATCCATTCCCGTGGTTGTCACAATTCATAAATTCATAAACAATAAGGTCTCGATTTCCATTTCCATTGCTACTCTAATGGTATCGGAATAAAACGATGATATCCTGTGTCATTTATTCGTCTACATCCCATCTGGACAATCTGAATCTATTTATTTTGACTATGGTGACAAACATTACATCCATTAACTTGTAAATACCCCAAAAGGTCCATCCAACGCATGTAATGTTCATGACTTTTGATGATTCTATCTTATTATAATTATTTTTAATATTCCATTGCTTGTTCGATTGTTTGTTTTTCACGACAATGAAGGTTTCCTCACAGATGTTTTATTTGTGACTAGTATTACTATCAGTAACTAAAGTGATGACCCAAGTCCTGCAGGTGATATATGCAGGAAGCTGAAGTACTTTCAGTCCCTATGATCCACAGTAAGGCCATCTGGGTTTTGTTGCTGGTGTTCAATTGCTCGTACTGTATAAGTATTCAAAACATCATTTATGTATATGTTCATGAAAATATTGTATTATTTGAACTTCTTCGTTTATAGGAAAGGAAATTGTTTATTCATGTTAAGATGTCTCTGTCCTGTGTGACAGACATTCATCAACACAACTGTTGTCGTCACTATATGGCTGAGATGCTGACTATGTGACATTTCACTCAATCACTATTTCCATAACAGTATAATACGGTTATGTCAAACACTTATTTACTCCGATATAACCGCAGTTCCTCTGCTGAAATATGTAAAAAAGTGTTGGAATTGGAAAAAGACCCATTATACCCGTCAGTTCGTGATAAGCGTGTTCGTAATAAGCGTAGTTTACTGTTATCCAAAACATCTCTGCATTTTGTTCTGAGCTGTCCCTGCATATTCAGTAATCACAACATTTCCTTATTGAAGTTGACTCTGAGCTCAACGTTTGTAGTTGTTCCCACTGACAATGTCTCGTAAAACATAACCTAGATATCTTGGCATCATCACATTATTGTTTGAACAAAAAACAAGGCATCAGTGACGTGTCAAATAATGTCACATATTAGGCTAAAATGTTAACTGGAGTAGCATTTTACCAAAAGATGGCATCAGCACATCTGACCTGACTTCACAGGCATGTCCAAAATCACTCCAAGGAGATGCTGGGCCCAGCCAATGTACAACCGAATCAGATTGTCTCACAGATTGATCTTAATCCTTCAGTCAAGGGATGCTATTCTTATACTCCCAGAAAGCATTTGAGTCAGGCTTGATAAATCTCAAACGATTAGTTTGTATTTCCGCAAACAAATGTGAGTGAATTACAGTGTTTTATCGCATTACCAGTTTTCAGCCAGCTGCTCGTAAAAATGCCATGTGATATGTCAACACTTAATTCATTGAAACCTGTTAGCGATAGACATTAATTAGAAATTATCTTTCTAAAACAAGGATTGGAAAAGATGCAAAAGAGAAATATGATTTCAGTATCATAACATGAAATGGGCTGAAGGTGATTTTCTCCATTAAGCCAAATGCGTAAAAACATGTCCAGTGTTTGATTCGGTTTAGCTAGTGTCTTTCAACAGTGGCAACAAAGACTTTGTTTTTTCTCTAATTGATATCATTTGAATTGTGATTCATTGGAGAATAGAACCAACTTGAGTTCTTGTTATTTGATATTGATGTATAAATTTCACTTACTACACATAAGGGAGATATTCTGTTGGGGTCTGGATTAACTGCCTAGACTTTGTTTGTTGGTTTACATATGTAAAGGATATGTTGTTTATTTTGTCCGCTATTGGTAATTTGCATGTATGTTTGTATTTATTTTCATGTATTAATAAATCTGTATACTTAGATTAGACTTATTTTGTCGTGCTCTTGTCAGATGACTCCAGATTTTCATTTCTCAGTTGTATGTTCAAGGTGTCAAATTCCTCCTTTGCACCTTTGCTTGATTCCGTTTCATTAGGGTTTTACGTACATTAAGGAGGTTGCATGCCATATATCAATATGTCAAGAAATTGCTAAATTTGGTATCAATATGCAGACAAATGTCTCCCTAATCTAATTATGTAATAAAAATAGCAAGTTACCACGGCATTTGTTTGACAAGTGGCGCCCCCTTTCTGGCACCGTCTATAAAAAGTAATATGTCAATAAAAGTTCTCTTAAAAGTATATTGTTAACTTTTATTATTCAGTATGTGTTTTTGCATAAAGATGTTTCAGTATTGATATGAAATAAAGCAGGAAAATCAATTTTCAGGGCAGTATGTAGTATTTGACACATTAATTTACTTCTTTAAAAACAGGACTTTAAAAAATATATTGATTCATCAATGGAAAAAAGATGTTTATAATAACACGATTTTTTTTATGAAATGAATATTTTTATAGTAAATTAACACTAGATTGATATTTAACAAAATATGTTACCAGAGGGTATCAACATTATCTCTAATTAAAACAGCATACCAACATTAAATTTGATAAGGGGAGATAACTCGTGCCAAGGTTTTCCTCAGGATAAATGTTTGCGTGGCCAAAATGTCATGAAGTATGATTAGAAGCAAGATAAAGGGAAATAACTGCGAAACATATATACGCGCTCCTACTGTCACATTCCGTCGCATACGGTATGCACACAAACAAAGGTATCCAACCTCTTTAAGCATTGACAATACTATTTACTAGGGCTGGCTAAAATGATCGATAATCGGAAATATCATCGATCGGAAATATATTAGTGATTATCGATATGTAACTTGTGTTATCGATAATATAGTATATCAACTTTTATGACAGAAAAAAGGTCTAATGTTCTCAGATAATATACAAATTACGACTTTATTCATGGTGTGCTTCTGAATTATGATTAGGATGCTTTTTGTTAATAGTCCATGCAAAAACATGTCGCAACTCACCAGTGATGTGAAATATATTAATTTATTGCAGACATGTTTGGCATTTTTGCTCAAAATTACGTCTCCGATATTTATTGATAATCGATCGATATTAAGCTAACCATTATTGATCGTTATTATCTGTGTCGATAGCCAGCCCTACTTCACACAAACGTTTCTAAACCAACATTGATGTGAGATTGCTATATACTTGTGGCTTAATTTATGAAAATAAATATTTACACTATTTTATACACATACTTGAAACTGATCCTTGATTGATCAACAGCGTCATACATAAACGTAAATACAACCGAGTGCTCACCCGTCACCACAGGTGACGTATTTACTGTGTTTATTACATGTATATTACATGTTTGGCCGACATGTTCATTAACCCGTGACCCGTGACAATAACATCATCTCATTGTCTTGGAAGCTTTAAACCTTTATAAAAAACCTCATTTGCCGTCATCTCACATGTGGAGTTGTGTGGTCATGCGAAACAAGTTGTCTCACCCTGATCAAGTGAGTTTGTTCAAAATTTTCACTGTTCATCCAGTACTGAGCGGCTACCCGGTGGGATGTCATATGACTGTTAACCTTGCTGAAGAGCAGCCTGGGATTGTGGGAATTACAAAAAAATCGTGCAGTTGGTCAAAGTAGCATGCGCAAAGTGTTCGTAACAGACTGGAATAACCATATAACTGACGTGACCCGTTAAGGCCTACCAAAGTATACTTTCCCACTGTACAAAAAAACAAAAAAACAAAACAAAAACAAAAAACAAACAAACGCTGAATAGTCCACATTAATCGGAGAAATAGCAACATAAACATAATACTTCGCTACTGAAGCAGTAAAAACTTTAAAACGCTAAAAATGCAAAACTACGTCTGCAACTACGACTTTGCGCGTGTGCACATGGAAAAGGAAGTCTTGACCGCATGTTGACATTTTCCAGCTTGAGCAAAAGTTACATTTTTAAGTATTTCTGTTGTGTTATTTGGCATTTATTAGCAACAAACTTGTGTGCACACTTGTTTAGTTTACTTTCCATTCGTATGAAATGATTTGACAGCAATTATTTCGACATATTGAAAATTGAAAGATAGGATCATTACGCACATGCGCAGTAGAGGTCAAAGTAGGCTGATATGAAAATGTTGCAGTTTCGTAGTCTTTCGTTGCCGTTTTTATTTCCACGATTAATATGGACTTTTCTGCGTTTTTTCTACGCAGTGGGAATGTTTTCTTTGTTAGAACTGCTGTAAGGATGGCAGAAAACAAAACGTCACACAAAAAATAACAACACTCGAGTTTTAATACAGTGTAGCAGATCTGGTGTTGGCAGATATAGATCCGGATTCGAACTCGCGTTGGCGTAGCGTAGCGACTCAGCTCTACTAACCGTTCCTCACACACAGGTTGTTTATTGTACGATATTCTCCGACATTTAGCCAAGGGACTAAACTCTCCGTCGACAAACAGCTCCCTCTATCATCGTCCTCCCCCTTCTACGGAATTATCACAACAAAGTACAGAAACTCTTGGAAAAACATGCAAATATAGATGTAGTTTTCAAGATGAATAACAACATCCCAAACACAACAAAGAACTGTTAAACAATCAAACCACCAACGAGCCAGAAACAACCACCACGGGGAACAGTGTACCACGTAAGAAAAGCAAAATTTATAGATGTCATATGCTTGCTCCTTCATCGGTCAATAAAGAAGAATAAATCTTGCTTTCCTTATGCATTCCACTTCTAAACGCCCTTCAAAGATTAAGTCTACCACGTCCCATGGAACTGTGGGCAGGCCTTCGCAGGCGAAACACCAACACCCCTCACAGCACGAATCAAGGACCATCAGACCTCACTTTTATGAGAACACATCCAAGACAACCCAGACCTCAGCATCCAGTGGAACAGAATCAAAACCATAACAACAAACCTCAAAGACTTTAAAGTCAGGAAACTCCAAGAAGCTATCTACATCAAAAGACTGCAACCATCAATCAACCGTGACCAAGTGTAAATGTTTTGGATTGCACTATCTTAGTAAAGTACAGATTGTAGTACTTTTGAAGCCTGCATTTGACCACTTTCTAAATGGTATTGTGTAATCATAACCGTGACCAAGGTTATTAGATCCTCATCAATGAGTCCCATCATTGGTAATCCCCTTTTGTTTACGCTGCAGGCTTCCCTATCTCTCTGTGTTTATATTGCAGGCTGCACTTGCTTACGGGTAGCCTACAAATTTGGTAAATGAAGTATTCATAGCGTTATAAATATATTTCGGTCATTTAAAACGTTGATCAATCTTTGTGAATTGCATATCTAAGTGGTCATTATGTCTTTGACTATAAAGTGAACGAGCGCAATCTCAACCCACTGATTAGGGCAGGGATTTCTGTGTCAAGCCGACATGGGGCGACTTCTTGAGACTTACAAGAACAAAGACAGGCGCATGTTTGTATCTCAATTTAAGCTTTATTTTTTGTTTAATGATGTAACGTGTTGCTTATGAAATAAAAAGCCCTTCCGCCGCGAACTGATTCAATGAACTCTAACCTGCGCATTTGGCATCACGAATATGTGTATGAGGGTTCGGGTCTGTTTGCAACTTAAATGTTTTTACCTTAATACAGTTCTAAACAAGCGAAGAAGATACACACTCTATTATAACAATGTTTTGAAAAGAAATCTATCTACTCCCGGCATGGATTATGCTTCCCGGCACCGTATCTTTAGCTTTGGCGGTACTCCCCGACTCCCTTGGAAATTAGCTCTCCCGGGAAATCTGAAATATAAATCTTAGCCTTCCCGGGACATCTGAAAAATGTATTTTAGCCTTTCCGGCACGACACCCTTACGCTTCCATCTACCTAGGCTGTGTGTTGTTATTGTTTCTGACTTCCCTATGTCATTGCAGTCCTAACCCCCAATTGTACTGTACTAACACCTCCTCCAAACCTGTATATATACATGCTTCTCCATCCAACAACCTACAGGCAATATAAATCGATGGTATAGATAAATACATTTTGTTATGTCGTAGGAACATAGTATCACTCAAGGTGGTGAGAGTGGCTTCCCCTGAAATACACGAGTTATCCAACCGCCATTGACGCCTTGAGTTGTGTGTTAAATACCGCGAGGTATTTTCTTCAAGTCACTACACATGTAAACAAGTGTCTACTTCGCGTACTATATTACACGTGACAGGCGTAGTTGTCGATAGTTGATATCTTGAGAGTTCTCACTGTGTTGAATATTCCATCACAAGGGATAACTATTTCAAATCACGAACTAGAAGGATCTTTTTAATAATAAACGTTCTCATTTAGTTATTGCTTTTTATAAGAAATATGTTTGTTAAATGATTTGTAAATAGATAAATATTTTATGATTGGAAGTTTGAATTAGTAACTCAGATTGTTAGTGGCTGTATCCTCAAGGGGGGGGTTAAAGTACTGTACAATTATTGTCCTGAGAGGGTACGTAAGTCCCAAAACATTCAAAGTCTATTTAAATCTATCCACTCCTTTTAATCGTAGAATATGTGTCCTATTAATGTATGGCTAGAGGTGTCTAGGTTGCTGACGGCTGAAGGGATGATGTAAATCCAGCTAAGACCCATGCAGGAAGCAAATGTACTGTACGTAAGTCCCCGTGGTCCCTAGTATGGTTATCTACCTTCAGATAGATGTTGGCAATCTATAGCCTGTTTTTTATATTGTCTTGTCATTTCTAGTTAAATGTTTTAGGCTCAACTACTAGTTTCAAATGGATTGTGATACACTAGTAGTTTTACTGTTCTTCGTCAACAGGGCCTAGACTTTCGAAGCTCTCTTAGTCGTAAGTGCCACACATTAACTTTAACTTACGACTATCTTAGCGCTAAGAGGGCTTCGAAAATCTAAGCCCAGGCTTTTAATTTCTAATTATTGATCTATAATATAGTTATTAATTGTCCTCGTCACGATATGCCTGAAATATTGCCGATGTGACGATAAATATTAACTAACTCACTCACTTGTGAGTTTTCAGTGCACGTGTTGTCCGAAATTTCAAACATAAGACAACAAACTCCCTGTAAATAAAATAATAGCAAGCGCATTCAATTACTTCCTCATTCATTAGTCACGTGATAAAAGCGGGTCCAGGTAATGTGATGGGTACCCGGGTCTAATTTATCTCTTTACCCACCCGTTCCGGGTATTGGGGTTACCCGTCCCAGTCCAAGAAGCACGGGCATTGAATCATAATATGGAGTACCAGAGTTAGGGAATTAGTCAATACTGACAACGCCAAGCGACAAGAAAAACAAGTTTAGAGTTATCTCCCTTCCCCCGATTTGCATTAGCAAAACATCGGTCATTTCTGTACATCATATGTCACTCAATTATTCGAGAATTGCCAATCAGAAAATGACATTTATGTGTGAGGTAAGATAAAAGTAATCGTATCCCAATTGCGTAGATCGATGCTCTTGCTGTTGATCACTGGTTTATCTGGTCCAGTCTGGATTATTTACAGACAGCCAACATGTAGCTGGAATATTGCTGAGTGCGGCGTGTAAGAATCAGCCAGCAAACCAATCATTGCAGCAACATTTAAATGCCACTCAAAGAAGCGGTTTGCAGATTGTTTCGCGTCATGATAATATCTCCTACTTCAACGACGACAGTGATCAATATGGCAATCTTTCCGAATGAAAGTGACGGTATCGCTAGGTATGCAAAGAACTTCCTAGATTTTCCAAACCCATTTACGATCTGGGTTTGCTAACCTAGGTCCCAGGGGAGTGGGAAAGAATTTGATTTTGCACCAAACTGCAGTTTCGTCCTCTTTTGATATCGAATTCCCGCTTCTATTGATAATTCATTTAAGTCTTATTTTCCACTGAATCGGGCTTTATTCCACACACATGTTTGGTTCATGAACCAAATAATATATTCAAGTCTTACATTTCCAGATTCGCCCTTTATTTCACACAATCTTTTGTTAATGAACCAAATAGAATATTTAAGCCTTACATTTCAACTGAATCGGGCTTTACTCCATGCAATAGTTGGTTCATGGACCAAATAAAATATTCAAGCTTTATCTTTCTGTTGAATTGGGCTGTATTCCACACAATCGTTGTTCATGAACCAAATAATATATTTAAGTTTTGCATTTCAACAGAAATGTGGTTGAATCAAAGATCTATGTGTAGCAGAATTTGCTTCACGACATTATGTTTACTATTAAAATCCAATAAATGCTGGTCTCCCAGTGCAGTCAGTGCAAGTGTTCATTCGGGTTAATTTTCCTCTTGATATTTTCATGGTATGAGTCAAGAATGTCCATCGTATTGTTAAATCATCGTACGTATTATCCAGTGTGAGGTTGTCATCAGGCTTGTAGTGTTTAACGTCTGTTCGTTTAAAGGCTATGAGCCTCTAACACAATACTCTTGGTAAATGCCATTGTAGGAGTAATCTCCCTTAAGTTGTAATGATCGGAACGGAACGCAATTAGCGTTGTGACACAATTACTGACTTGTTCATCAGCAAGGAAACCATCAACAACAACCATCACGAAGCAGATAAGGGAAAGTGTGTCATTGTCAACACCGCGTTAGTCTCTAGCAAAAAATACATACGTTCAGTGGTCAATTCATCAGTGAATCTATGAAATATTATGAATGAACGTAGTTGTGCGAAAGTGGTAGTTCCGGCATCCAATGAAAATGTACAAATTTACGACCGACCAATCAACGTCGAGAATCACAAAACTACACTCTGTGGAAATATCAAAACGATATTACACGGGATCTCCTCACCCGTGTGGGTAATACATTTTAGTATGAAAGTAAGTATCAAGTGTTTTCACATGTAGATCCTTTAGTATGATACTTAGTGAAATGATTCAACTCTGAACACACCGAACAGTGTTTCATTCATGTTTCATTCAAGGGGAAGCAACCCAAAATATAAACTGGATATTGATATGACACAGGGATTCGAACTATAGATTGGCAAAATGCTCTGCGGCACTTAAGGTAGTCTGTCTCACAGTCCCAGAACTACGTTATTTCTCTACTGCCTAGCCCTCTCTGCAATGTAGTCTGTCTCACAGTCCCTGAACCACGTTATTTCTCTACTGCCTAGCCCTCCCTGCAATGTAGTCTGTCTCACAGTCCCTGAACCACGTTATTTCTCTACTGCCTAGCCCTCTCTGCAATGTAGTCTGTCTCACAGTCCCTGAACCACGTTATTTCTCTACTGCTCAGCCCTCCCTGCAATGTAGTCTGTCTCACAGTCCCTGAACTACGTTATTTCTCTACTGCCTAGCCCTCTCTGCAATGTAGTCTGTCTCACAGTCCCTGAACCACGTTATTTCTCTACTGCCTAGCCCTCTCTGCAATGTAGTCTGTCTTACAGTCCCTGAACCACGTTATTTCTCTACTGCCTAGCCCTCTCTGCAATGTAGTCTGTCTCACAGTCCCTGAACCACGTTATTTCCCTACTGCCTAGCCCTCCCTGCAATGTAGTCTGTCTTACAGTCCCTGAACCACGTTATTTCTCTACTGCCTAGCCCTCTCTGCAATGTAGTCTGTCTCACAGTCCGTGGGCCACATTATTTTCTCTACTGCCTAGCCCTCTCTGCAATGTAGTCTGTGTCACAGTCCCTGAACCACGTTATTTCCCTACTGCTTAGCCCTCTCTGCAATGTAGTCTGTCTCACAGTCCCTGAACCACGTTATTTCTCTACTGCCGAGCCCCCCCTGTAATGTAGTCTGTCTCACAGTCCCTGAACCACGTTATTTTCCCTACTGCTTAGCCCTCTCTGCAATGTAGTCTGTCTCACAGTCCCTGAACCACAATATTTTCCCTACTGCCCAGCCCTCTCTGCAGTGCTGAAACCTTCAGTGAAGCAAGTCTAGATTTCCTCAGGTTCTGAATTTCAGGTCTCTCTGGGTCTCCTGTCCAATTTAAATGGGTTTGCTTGTTACTGTCAAAATTATATATTCAGAGATTAAGCGTTAGTCTACACTTGACGACCCGTACCTTTGTTTACGATAGATTGCCGTGTCTAAGTCATTTCCTAACTGCACGCAGCAGACAAATGATGAAGACAATTCCCCTAGACGATGATCGTGTGCATTATCAGCAAAGATCATCACCACACAAAAATTCTACTTCAACCATGATGCAATGCCCAAGACACCTGCAGTTCGCACGTGTTGTCTAAAAGGATTTCACTGTTGAAGAAAAGATTCTTAAACACTGTTGAAGAAAGGATCAATGGAAACACACATTGAGGGAAGAATATGCTTGGCGCCATGACTATAAACTATAAAATGTATTGTTCTTCGTTGTTAACAAGCTGAAACGGGCCTTCTTTATCAACACCTGCATCAACGTTTACATATTAAAATGTTTATCTACTCTACACATGTAGAACGTGTTTATTTGCACAGACCCACTTAGGATTTGTTTATGTCTTTGCTGGCCCTTCAGAACGACATGTTTATTTTACATGCTGTTTGGTATATAATGCAGTCAATTAGGTACCCCCCATATTTTTTGGGTGAGTCGAACCAACAGACGTTCATTCAGAATACATAACTGGTTGTGAGGTAATGCGTAGATGTGACGTGACGTCACCAGCGTCGCACATCGACTCCGTCTGATTGGAGCGAAGAATAAATTGACCTTAACTAAATCCCGCTTTTCAGCCATTTTGATGGGGTGCAACATCTGAATGAACAGTTTCTCAAACAAGGTGATGAATGGTGGGGTCGTAGAAACAAGTTTTATTGATAAAATGTGTGAGTATGGTTTTACGGCGCTTCACATTCATACGCCAGAATGCTAGTCTATATAATGAGTGACTTTAGTTTTACGCTGCACTTAGCAATATTCCAGCTATATGGCGGCGGTCTGTAAATAATCGAGTCTGGACCAGACAATCCAGTGATCTACGCAATTGGGATACGATGACATGTGCAGGGTCCTGATTAGCGGGATTCCACAGAAATGGCTCATTTAAAGAAAGGCTTCTAAATTTTCTTTCCTTATTTACAACAAACTCTATTATGATACAATCTGTGACATATCTGGCCATAAGTGGACTGCCCGTATTAAGGACACTTTTGGCAAAATAGGAATGAGTTGTCTTTTTTTTCTACACGGGCATATCTTAATAAAAAAAAAGCCATAAGCACTTGTTTAAATAGACTGAAAACATCAATCTACAGACCTGGATGTCAAACACAGAAAAATCTTTTAGAGGAGTTGTTTAAAATACTTTCTAAAATACGAAATCTGTCTGAATTTATTTCATTTTAATAATCGGAGGGCGTCACTCAGTTTCAGAACCATCAAACCATCACCTTCTCTTGAGGCGGGAAAATGGAGTAAAACACTTCTAAATGAAAGATTAAGCTCTTTGTAATTCGAACGATATTGGAGATGAATCATCTTCTGTTTCTTTGCTCTACCTTGGTTCCAGAAAGGAAAACATATATCAACGATTATTACTTTAAAGGCCCGAATATGCACTAAATGAACCAGAATTTTACTGTAATAAACTAGGAACAATTAGGAAATAAGCAATATTTTTCAAAATAATATTGTCTCCAAATACCGTACACGAGTGTAACTTTGTTCATTTGACTGGTTAAGTGTATGTACACGCATACTTTTTTCTTGCAAACAACCGATATGTACATGTTACCATTTTGTCTATCATACATGCATTTAACATATATACATGTATGTTGTACATAGTGATGATGTAAACGTGTACCTCTGCCACGGTAAATAAAGTTCAGGTCAGTTCAGTCTTGTGCTTGCTTTCTTCCGAATTGACTCCGTGCATTTAATAAAACACTTTTAAAAAACATATGGCATTTTTCTTGTCATATAAGATTATTTTAAGGCACATCTTTTGAACAATTAAACAACGTTCTCTATTTGTCACGGAGATATCAGGAGGTATCAGTTGAAAATTATAATTCCTTGCAACCATTTGTTTTGTACTCTGATTATGGTGATGTGAAGCGTTTCGAAAGAAAAAAAGAAGTTGGGACGTGCCTTTTCAGTGGAACGTCACTGATTTGTCTCGATTAAACGTCGTCATAGTATGCATCAGTAAGTTTGACAGATCAAGGTGCAAAGGGTTCAATTATAAGGACGTTAAAGTTCCAAATTCCAAATGTGTAAAAAAATGCACTATAGAGTTCAAATGCTGAATGCAGAGTACCGAATCTGCAAAAGGAAAAACCCGAATATGAAAAAAAAAATCAGATTCGGGATTCGAATCCTGAATGTGAACAAAAAAATCATATACTGGATTCGAATCCCCAATCCCCAATCCGTTTCTATCACAGGTTACAGACAGGTTACATACCCGATGTAGC